AACCCAGCAGTGCTGATGTTTAAGTCTGCATGCTGGAGCAGTGATATTGGCAAGATCAAGGCCAATGCCTGGGCCCTTATTTTCCTGGGTAAAAGTTCAGCGAATCTTCAAGAACTCTGCTAATTGTGCCCATTACTTTGCAGAGCAGGAATTAAAGCAACAATCTAAATGAGTTCAGTATGAGCAGAGATGTGATGCAAATCACTGGGGAACCAAAAGGACTCGCTGGCTTTGTGTTCAGCTCCACACCTATGGCCTCTTGGTGATGATTACGTTAAAAATAAATTGAAGTACTTTACATTATCTGCTTTAAAACTGAAGTAATATTAGTGACAGCTACCAAGGTGCTGTGTTTCTGTAAAACTCACACTTCATAATATCAGCTATACAATTATTTATAAACATGCCAGTTTTGTAGAACAGTAGGAATACAATAAATGCAACTAAAACCATGCATTTAAGTTCAAAAGTAGATAAATACTGAATGGAGATGTCATCCTGTCATGAAAACTGAGTGACAGACCAATAAAATTTTCCCTACATTTCAATATAATCAGCATGCATTTTCACTGAGTATTTCTAACTGTGACATGTTTGTGTAAGAGTCCTTCTGTGTTGTTGGTATTTTTTAAACTGTTGAGTTTTAGCAAATGCTTACTTTCCCAGAATAATAATTCTGGACTGGACCACTGGTCCACTGGGTGAAATTTATAACAAGTAGAGCATTAATGCAGCTGCAGGATGAACTTGGCCATCATCTTTAATAGTCTCATGATTAAACCATGACTATAAATGAAAACAAGTGAATTCCTGACACCACTGTTGTCAACAAGGAATTCTGATTCTATGGTAATGATTTTTCTTTGACTTACTGCTTCAGCACTAAAATTTCACCCATAATTGAGAGTGAGAGTTGTTGTTAATTGATAGGTTCATCCAAGATTTTTTTTTCCCCTTAAGATTTCTAACATCTTTTACTTCGACTTCCACTTAAAACAGCAATAATACTTTGTTCTTCCTCTTCCCTGGGTAACTGAGGATACTTTTTCAAGCGATTCTTGCCTTGCCTTGCATTATTCAGCAGCATTTTTCAGCTTCCAGTGTTTATGCTTTAGCATAATGCTTTAGCTTGCTCTTGTAATTCTCAGCTTTCCAGTCATCTCTCACTCAAGTAACCTGGATCATTTTGTCAACCGCATATTTTCAGTCACAGTGCTCACCTGCTTTTCAAGAGGAATGTGCATGCAAACACGTGCATGTATTCAGAGAAGGAGCCTGAGGCACTTCAACATTAACCTTTGGCCATATTAAAAATTAACTGTTTAATCCCACTTTAGAGAGGTTTTCTGTCTTTCATTCAGTGGCAGTACTTAAGCTCTCATTTCATGACTACCTGTTCCCCTCAGCCATCCCTCTCACAAGGTACGAAGCATTTTTTTGAAAATAAAATTCAATTAAAATGTAATCTCACTAATCTCACTCTTCACGAGATTTCTGTTAAAATGATCAGGGATTTTTAAATACAAAGATACAATTTATCTAATGAAAGACACTCTGGCTTTAAAATATTTGAAGATTAATTCATTATTTGCAGGCATCAACAACCTGACCTGGTAAAATCCTTATCCGTAGAAAGAAAATGTTTCATAACAATATATTCCATAATAATCCATGGGACAAACAATGAGAGATAACTTATATCATACTGCAATACTCTTATTTTCTGATTATGAATAGTCCAACAAACTTACAGATTTTCATGAGGGTTGTCTGCTTTTGTATTATTGAAGATTTAGTTTTGTCTGGCTTTTTTTATTTCTGGTTATCTGTTTTTCATGTGATTCTTACATTGCTAAATTCTTATCTTTTTGTCCTTTTTACTTCTTCAAATGGGCAGAATTATCCTTTTTTTTTTTTTTTTTTTTTTTTTTTTTTTTTTCTAGAATTCCAATTTGTTTAAGAACAAGCACTTGAACCTCACCACTGAATGTGGGGTTTTCTCTTACCATCTTGGTTTTCTGTTGTATATATCTCTATTAAGAAATTCTAATCAATTTCATATTTTTAAGTAACTTTACCTGTAGGCTTTTTTTCTTTTTTTCTTTTTTTCTAGATGTCTCATTATATGAAGTATTTATTTGTAAAGCAAAGTGTTAGGTTGATAAATAGTTTCTATTAAATCATCGCTTCAGAACATTCATCAGGGTTTTTTAATGGAAGTATCTAAAATTAGATTGAAAAATAAGTAATTTGATTTTTCTAAAGCACAGAACTCTGCCACCAACTGAACTATTTAGTAGTTTTAAATCATGGGTGGGAAGGGACCTCAAGATCATCAAGTTCCAACACACCTGCCACAGGCAGGGCCACCAAACTACAGACAGACCTCACCCTATTGAAACTAGACCTGACAATGCTCTAGGGCCTACTTATAAGCAATGACTTTATGAGCAGAAATCTGAGGACAGTAACTAATTACAAAAGATAACAGAGCAATTTTCATCTGTTCTTCAGAAATTGAATTCACTGTGAAAAATTTTATAGCATTGCTGCCTATACAATATTCTCAAGGTCCACAGAAATGGGTTAATGAACTCAGTCTTTCTTTTCTAAACATATGTACAGACAGACATACTTTCTTGAGAAGCACTTACCTTCAGTTAATGAAGCTGCTACTCAATAAAAGAACAATATTTGAACAAAGCTTAGGGTATTCATCAGATGGGTGTTGAACAGTTTGAACCACATGCTGTGAATGACACCTAGCAGTGACAAGTTCTCAAGATATAGAAGTTCAATTAAGTTTTAATTTGAAGAAAGTATTTCTATCCTTGTTATACTACTATTTTTCCAGAGTCTCCCATAAACATGGTTGCAAAATGAACCATCTGCATTGCATCAAATTGTTAGTCTCCCAAACATTCTTCTTTGGCTTTATGTCAGTAACTATGCCAAAGAATAATAAGAAATAAAAAAAATCAGGGTCATACTAAAAGAGTTATATTTTTTTACCTTACCAAAACAAACACAATGAACAAAATAAACAAAATAAAAGGAGAAACAACAATAATTTATTATAAAACATGTAGTTCAATAGGAAGCTCTAAACTCAGTTCTGAGTCACTTCATCCTACCTGTAATTTTTCCACAAATTTCATAAGTCAATGGACTTCACAGCACTTATACAGAGTTCTAATTCTTCAGAGAATTACAAATTCAAAGAAAAAATATCCTTAGAAGCTGTCTCTTTGTTTCCCATGATGTAATCCAAGTCATTCAGCTAAAGTCCCTTCCCTAATAAATCATTTGGTTAAGCAGAGCTCTGCCATGATTCAACACAGAGATAAGTGTTATCGTAATCCTGTATAAAAGCTGTTATTTCCCTCTGTTATTCTATCTCTTTTATTCAGTTTCAGTTATTTCCAACACTGAGAAAAAGAATATGTGGCTTAATTCAAAAGTAATATGTTAATGTTCATTATTATTAACAGTTTTGATGATCCCCTGCCCTAGGATGCTCTTACCTTCCTGAAACAATGAAGTTCTGCTTCTAAATATATGAAATACTGTGTGAAATGTCTTGTTCAAAAATGCTCACTATACCAAAACCAGTCTTTTTTTAATTGTTCATTCAAAGGCCAGGATGTGCTTTCTAACAAAATCATAAAAACATATTAGGTAGATTTTAGTATCACTATACAGATAGGAGCAAGTTCTCAGAGTAAATATTTTGTCTTCATCTCCTCCTAAATGAGTTATGTCCTCTGATGATCTGGCTGTCTAAGTAATATTTCCTTTGCAATTGATGTCTACTGAAGTATGCATCCTTAATCACAAAAATCAGTAGAACAACAATTGTGAAGACAGCAAGATGAAATGGAATTCCTACTGGACAAGAACTTAAAAACGTGTTGTCAATAACTCCCTCAGTCACTAAAAGTGTAGTGCATTCAGTACTAGTAAATCTTTTGGGAAGAAATGTAAAGCAACAGGCTCATCACAGGTGGACAGACAGACAGAAAATAATATGTCACTTACTTGCTTGAGCCACTTGAGCATATGTATACCCTATCTTCCTGCATATAAAACCATGACTGGATCTACATCTGTTATTCAGTTCTATGCCTATTATGCTCATAACTGGCAACAGCATCTTGCTTGAAAAGAAAACACAAACACAAAGTGGACAACTCCCTAACAGAAAATTTAGCAGGTTTCACCGATAGCACATTACATGAGCTTTGTGCTGGTGTCCATGCTAGGCATGCTTACTAACCCTGATGGGTTTAGTTTTTGTTCATTTGCTCCCAGAAGAATTAGACAAATTTAACATGAAGTAGAGAATCTCATTTTAAATCCACTAAGAATTTAGTGGGCTTTGGCATTGGAAAGAAATGGAAAGGTGAATTTTGTCATCAGAAGCCACATGGCAGTATTATAGAGTTTCCTGGGTTTTGTCATTTTAAAAGTAAAATGTGCATCAACTGATAAGTTAAATGACAACAGAAAGGAAGTAGGGGCAAAAAAAGAAGCACAAATCCTTAGCTTGTTCCTTTTTAGCCTGTTGGAATCACACATGGCCAAGTCGCTTTCTTTCAGGTCAACAGACCCAGGTACAGCAGTTACTGAGCAACAGTAGCACCACTACAAACAGCAAATTAACACATTCTACAACTTCCAGTGGTCTTACATAAAATGATACCCACAAATTGAAAGTGCTTGGCTTTATTATTTAGTTAGTTAGTCACTAAAATTGCAAGTGTGGGTTCGTCAGTTTTCATCTTCTGTAGTCAGCCTACTACAGAAGGAGAAAACGTAGGAGCTGGCCAGCCATGTCCATTGGGCACAGGGGTGGGTACCACACAGCCATACTGCAGCGGAGATGTGGGCGGCCAGGCGATGCTTTCAAGTCACTCCCACCCACCTCCAAGAGGCCGCCATCTTGGGAAGCCCTGCAGCCGCGGCTCGGAGCCGCGCCCCGATCCGGCACCAGAGGGCGCCCTTGCACCAGGATCCCGCCTGAGGCATGAGGCGGCGCGCTCGGGGGAGGTGATGTGACTTCCCCAGAGTAGTGAACGGTGTGTCAGTACTTACCGGTCAGCTACACTGAGCTTCTTTCCTTTTGGGGTAATAAGCGTGACTCTGGCTTCATTTCCAAAAGCTCTTCAAGAAGTTCAGTTTACAAGTCTCTGTGCATCTTGCTGAAAATGCCAGGCCTTTGTGAATGCCACCTCCTTCCCAGCAAAACGTGGAGATCTGCACGTTTCCAGCACTCTGCTTCTCTTCAGATGCAGTTTGAGTGTGCAGCTAGTGGGCTAAAACATGACAGAGGGAGAGGGCTGTTCTTCTGATCTGTGCTCTCATGAGGGCAGAAGAAGACCCTCAGCAAGATTCAACAGCCACTGTGGCTGGGACGTGAGAGGAGCCCATTCCCCATGAGCTCCACTGCCCTCCTTGAGATGGGAGACTTAAATTGACCCTAAACCATCTCCAGCTGTGCTTTAGGAAGTCTAGCCTTAAATAGTCTCAGTGATGTTGATTCTAAAATATTCCCTTCATGACTAATTCATATTTTTCCTTGATATTTTATCTAATTTGCTGCAGGCTAAGCTCTCTGCTTCTTGGCCTGTTGTCAAACGAAAATGACTAGTCCCTGTGCTCCTTTCTCTCTGGGGATCAACGGATTCTGATTATCTCTTTTTGGTCTTTTTCTGTTTCTTCAATCACTCATGGAGCATAAACACATCTGTTACTCTTCTCTTCCCACTTAAGGGAGAATCCAGTTCCAGGTGTTTGGCAATGGCAGAGGCAGAAGCAGACACTATCAGCAAGTTTTAGGTAAATGCCATGCTCCACACTTCTCTATTCCAAACGCTTCTGTGCCTAAATGCCTTTAATTACCACCTACAGACTTTTACTGAAATACTTATCCCTGGGGTGTTTCCTTTCTTGCTTTTATGGATGATATGTGAGGGTATCTTCTTCACTGCTCCTGCTGGCTTTAGTTTGGCAGCTGTAACGTTTCATTAATATTTTAAGTAATGCATTCTGTAAGCCCCATGCTTAATATACTGGTTCCAGTGGGATGAAGTTCAACAAGACCAACCTCCAGGTCCTGCACCTTGGCCACAACAACTCCAGGCATTGCTACAGGCTTGGGACAGTGTGCCTGGAAGACTGTGTAGAGGAAACAGACCTGGGGGTACTGGCTGATGCTCGGCTGAACATGAGCCAGCGGTATGCCCACATGGCCAAGAAAGCTGATGGCACCCTGGCTTGTATGAGAAACAGTGTTTCTAGCAGGAGCACGGACATAATTGTACCACTGCACTCAGCACTGCTGAGACTGCTTCTCTAGTACTGTGTTCAGTTTTGGGTCCCTCACTACAAGAAAGATATTGAGGCCCTGGAGTGTGTCCAGAGATGGGCGATGGAGCTGTGAAGGGTCTGGAGCACAAGTATTAGGAGGAGTGGCTGAAGGAGGAGACTCAGAGGAGGTCTTACAGGTCTCAACAACTACCTGAAAGGAGGTTGTGGCAAGGTGGGGTCAGTTTTTTCTCTCAGGTAACTGTGATAGGACTAGAGGGAATGGACTCAAGGTGTGCCGGGGTGATTCAGGTTGGACATTAGGAAAAATTTCTTCTCCAAAAGAGTGGCTAGGTGCTGGAACGGGCTGCCCAGGGAGGTGGTGGAATCACTGTCCTTGGATGTATTCAAGAAACATTTAGATTTTGTACTAAAGGACATATTGGTGGCAGGTGGATGGTTGGATTGGATGATCTTGGAGGTCTTTTCCAACCTTGGTGATTCTATGATTCTATTCTGAGAAAATGCAGATGGCAGACAAGACAGTGTAGTGACTTGTGCAGGAACTGGGACAGTAGCTTAAGTGCCAAACTGAGATTTCATAGGCATCTTTGGTCAGCTATTTCACTTATCCTACATATCTCAATTTTTCCTCTGTAAAGTGGAGATACATTCCTGTCCCACTTAGGAAATGCATTTATACTAGTGAGGTATTTGGAAGCTAAGAAACAAGAGCTAGGCCAAACTTTCATGCAGCCATGTTAAGAAACTCCTAATAAATAAATAAATAAATAAATAAATAAATAAATAAAATTGAACCAGATTGTACATTCTTCGGGTTTTGTTTATCTATCTCTAGCACTAGAAATTCCATGGACTTATTATTCGCTGTTGTTGTCCTCGTAGCTGAAGCCTCAGTCTGGCAAGAACTCTGAAACCTGAGCAAAGCTTTCCTCACCGTCTACTTCTCTATGGTGGCTCTTGTGCCCCACAGCAGAGACAGGGAGTGAGTTCCCAGGCATGGGGATCTCCTTGTGTTCTGGGATACCATGCACTAAGCAACACATGAGCAAGCAACAAAGCTTTTAAGCTGTTATGGCTACATTTCCAAACAGAAATTATTGGAGGTCTAAAATGGAGAAGAATAAACTTCACCTTGATAGGCAGACATTTGTAAAGCAGACATTTTTTCCTCACAAGAGAAGTGGACAGGCATTCCCACCCACTGCCTCTGGTTGCTGCCTGTGTCCTCTAAAGCCAACCCCACAGACCACAAAAACTTCTAGTCCTGGTCAGGTATGCATTACCTATGAAAAAGTACTCAGTGCAATGGGTATTTTTACTTTAGGCATGTTATCAGAATATAGATGAAGCTCCAGGGAAAAAAGGTAAAGCATGCAATCCAAGATTAGTTTTTAAATCTTTGTCCCACAGAATTACTTAAATGTGTGAATCTAAGTTTCCACAAGAGCATCTGGGCTATATAATGCAAGTTCAGTAAGTCTGAGCCCTTTTTTAAAGTTTTAAGCGCACTTTCCATGCCCTGCACAATCTCAGTGAGTGTACACAGTGCATGTGAGGGCCTCACCATGGCTGTGTGTACACAGTGATTTTACAGCCCAACAAGATACCGTATCTATTACTTGCACAATTGTGCTCCTATACAACAAAGGGTAATGTGACTCTAAAAATCCCAGATAGAATGGGCAGCTCCTCAGAAAATTCCCAAGCTTTCTGCATGAGAGAAGAAGTAATATTTAGGAAAAAATGTCTCTATGTTAACCTTGTTATCAAACAGTTCATTTTATTTTGTTTTCTCCAGCACCCTTGACAGCCACTACTGATGATTATGTTACATCACTGAAAAGGATGGAATTACTCACATATCCTCAGGTAAGTGTCTTTGGGTTATTCATCTGCTCTCAGATTAAACATTACTGTCAATAGCACAAGATGAAATTTGCGTTACTGTAATAATGGCATTGTCTTTTTTTTTTTCCTTTTGGTGGACAAGACTTAAGAATTAGCAATATAATGGTGTCATTCTGCATAAGAAAAGTGCTGGGCCTACATCGTTTGACAGAACAATGTAAGCATCTTACTAGTGCAAACAAAAAGAGCAACTCACCATAAAATAAAGGGAACAAACACTATCCATTCAACAGTGCAGACTCCAGTGTTGTTCTTTATTATATTATTTAAAAGGAGCAGATTTACTTGGTCATAAATTAATAATTCAGAAGGTATAAGAAGGCACAGCCAATTAGCTGCAGTAATTTGCATTTTTATGCTATCTAGTTAGTTTTCTAAGGTTCTTCTCTTCTATTATCGCAATGCAAATGCCATCTTCCCAAAGGTGAATAGCCAACCTGTTTTTTGTTTGCATGGTAATGAAGCCTGTTCAATTATTGAAAGGCCAAACAATTTAATAATTTTCTAAGACAAATCTTTGTTCCTACCTTTTTTCATCTTATATTGTTGTGAAACATGCTTCTTCAATGTAATTTATTTTAACTTGAAATTGAAAGGCTATCAGGTGGCTGATTTTCTGTGGTTTCTGAAATCATGTCTAACCACACTTGTACAATTTATCCCATGAAGGGAGGTAGTAAAATTATTTCTTAACTTAGACGCTGACAAATAGCCCTATGTATGATGCTTTGTTCACAGTGTGGGATTCCTTGAGCCTTGCACAAAAACAAAGTGAGAAGGATTTAATGCATGAATTTCACTCTGAGGAGAACTTCCATTTCTTATCAAGTAAGGCAGGAATACTCCATACATAATGGCAACTGCACCATCAGAAGCTTTCTGCCACCTGCTCTTGGTCACTACTATCCAAGGGTACAGTCTTACTCGAACGGATGTCTTTACCTTCTGAGGAATACTCCTAAGGCCAGGGAGGCTAAAGGTAGAAGCCTTTACTGCAGGCTATGCAGTATGGCTATGAACATGGTTACCATAGTGCTGTAGTCCAGCTCTACTTGTATCATTTCATCTCTGCCTTCCCATGCAGGGCACCAGCAAATCCCACTGGCTCTCTGGGAGTTGCTCCTAACCTGCAGCTGGCCTGACACATACTTATTTTTCCGTTTTTACTTGGTATTTTCCTTTCCAAATGCTTTCCATCTGAGGCCATTTCATTTTATTTTTATAATTATTTTCTTTTTAATACAACTCCTCATTCCAGATGTAGGATAGTACATATACTCAAGCATACACATGAGCAAAGTAATGCTGAGGCTGTAAATGTCTTTGAGGCAGAGTGCTAACTGAAACAATTCTACAGACATTTCAGAGGACCAGTGGGGATTAATCTGGGGGAGGAGGGGGGGTAGAGGGGGAGAGGAACCTACAAAAACTAGATAAGCAAAGATGTTATATGATTTTCTAAGACAACCTCTAAAGGAACCTGGCTCTCCAGATTTCCAGGAAAGCTACTGGATGGTTGAAAAAGATATAGGAAACCTGCCCTTCCCTGTTCACTTGTGGGAAAAACACAGAATGAATGACTGATCGTAAGAACAGTAGGGTGTGTCACTGTGTTGTAAAAATCTTTCTTCCTTATTTTTAATTCTTCATGGAGGCTCTGTGGGAAGGCACAGCTCTGAATCACTCCAAGCCATAGGGGAGGGTGGAAGAAGAATGGACAGCTGAATCAGCTTTGAGACCAGTGATTCAACAGCAAGCAAAATTATGCTAGCAGGTATAGCAAGGTGAAACAGGTGCCAGGAAGTGAGAAAGGAGAAACAAAATAGTCAGTAAGTAAGGAGAATCTAGAGTTAACAAAAATAAAAAACTCTGAGAAATAAAGGGAACTTTTAGAGCTGCATTGCATTTTTCTTTCCCTGTCATACATGGACAGAAATGTAGAGCTCTAAAGGTGCTTTTTTAGAGACCAAAGTTCATGTTCAGTAATTTATGTGAATTTCCATCATGTCAATCAAAAAAATGAAACTTTCATTATGTAGTGAAGACTGAGTTAATTTAAGAGCTTATATGCTTGATAATTAACTTATATATTAAAATTATTTGCAAAGCACATTTTTTAAGAATACCATTAAGTTCTTGCCCTATACCATCTCAGCAGAATATGACTCCCATTTCACTTTTTTTACTAAAAGATATTAAAAGGGATCTGTTGATTGTCTAATACGACTCTTTCCATCCCACGTCTACAAGATTCCCTTGTATTAATTTCTGTATCAAGACCAGTGCTGCCGCTATACCATACTGGACACTGATCTTGATGTCAGATTTCCTGTTCAGAGAAAGCCCACCACAGTCTTCAATAAGTTTCTTCAGTGGCCACTTCCCTTCACTCTTGTACAATTATTTCAAGCCTACATTTCTCTAATTCTGGGCAATGGATTTGTCTAATCTTTGCCAGAGAAATTAAAGATGCCTTTATACCAGTTTCTTCTTGCTGACTAAGTGAAAATCTTTGAACTTAAATCCCTCATTTTCAGTGTACATGGGTCTGTCTCAAAGTAATGCTTCCTATTTATTTCCATGGAAAGAAAAGAACAGATAAAGAACACAATAACACTGTTTGATAGAGCAAATTCTCAGCTACAAAACACTATTTTTCAACATTGTCACCACCATTAGTTATGCATCTTTGCCAGCAATGAACAAGAGCCTGCATGCCGTACCCATAAAAATCTGCACCGGCAGAGGTGACCAATGCCATTGTTGCCACTTCTGAAATGCACCACCACCACCTCACTGTGCTCACATCTACTGTTTGGCCTCCACAAAAATTTACCAATCGTCAATGAATGTCAGTGGGTGCCATTTTTTTTCACATGGTGGAATTCAGTGACACACCTTTGATTCATATGCACTTGTCAGACACCATTCTGTCAGACTGCCCCTCTGCTGCCATCTGTCACACAGCATCTACAGTAATGGAATATTGTTGGGTAGGTTCAGCCTCTACTGCCATACCAGCAAATATTGGCAAATATCTGACATCATAGGCCAGTGTAATAAAATAGGAGGCATTGCATTTTCAGTCCTCATATTTTTCTTTAAGCACATCCATTCTTTAAGCACGTTCATAGTTTCCTTCTTCCTTTTTAAAGCTTTTGAGTCTTTGTTGTTGTTTTAATAAAAAAATAAAAAAATAAAACACTTCAGTTTTAATAAAAAAATAAAACACTTTAGAACAGAGTACCAGTAGCAGTGATGAAACAGGGCGATGCTAAGCTGGCTCCCAGCAAATGCACAGGTGAAGCTGTGCCCTGCCCTTCCTCCTCCCTCAGACAACAAAGCTCCAAGCCAAACTTCATCACAGAGCTATGGCCTCTGTAGCATCTTTTCTTTACACTCACAGCAGATCTGCACTTGGATAATACAAGTTCCCCACTTCCATTCATATTCTCCTGAATATACTCCAGTGATCACTTTAGCACTTTGTCCAGGATGCACTATGGGAGATACATGTGTATGATTGTCCATCATAAAATCAAATCCTTCTCAGCCCATATTTCCCAGCATGGAGTCTTCCATCCTACATTCTAGGTGTGTTTCACACTGTTCCACATTACACGGACTCTTAGAAATGTCATCTTTTTCTTTGTTGCCAAGAAATTCAGGTTGCTCCACATCGCTCTCCAACCCTATTTGTCATGTAATTCTCTATCAGTTTTAGTGGTCTGGGAAACTTTTCCAATAAAATGCTAGGTTTTTGTCTCATTAATAAACAATATAGGGGAGAAAGCTCACCTGGGAAAAACTTCTACCATGATCTTTCCTTTCCTTATTGAGACCTATTGTTTTTAATTACATTCATAGATATCAGGTGGATTTTGTTCTGAAATCATTTTTAAATATCAGTACAAGATTTGATTTTTCCCATTTCTTAAAACTTCCCCAGTTTGAAGACTTAGTCATCTACATTAAGTGCCCATGGGGGTCTTTTGCTAGTTCTTTTAAAGTATCAGATGCTTGTTAAATGGACATGCAGATTTAAAAATGTGGAACATTAAAAAACTGCCATCTAACTGGTTAAAATTAAAAGATTACATCATCATATCATATGACTAAACCATCTGGCTTTCCCCAAATGCAAATACAAAGTGACTGAGACTCAGATTTCCATGAATTCTTTCCAGTTCCGCTATCATCATACAGCTACAGAACAATCGTATTACTGGGAATCCCAGTACAATGTAAGCCCCTGGCTGTCTCTTTATTCTTAAATCTGTTAACCATAGATTTGGTCTTTAACATTTTGTTTCCACTACTTTCTAAAATTTGTAAGACAGTTATTGTTATGATTTCACCAGGTTGTTTTTTTTTCCCCACTTTTCACTCTGATTTATAGATGCTTTTATTTTACTTTGACCCTTAGTACTCCTTCGTTAAGCCTCTGCAACAGCATCATTCACAAATATGTAATTTGGGCATTTAGTAAAATGTTATTCAACAGCGGACAATTATCTTTCTAATTTTTCTGTTTACATATCTTCCATTTGATTGTCTCAAAATTATATTCAGGTTTATTAAATTGTTCTTTTCAAAATCCCAAGAATATGTATTATTGGCAGAACTCACAGTAAAGATGTAATCAAGATAAAATCAGCTTCATCTAAGAAGCCACTGTCTTTTGAATTTTGTAATTAACTCTTCACTTCATAAGGTCCCATTTAGATTTCTGTCCCACTGGATATAATTGCTGTTTATATATGTATCCTTTCAATAATGAAGTTGATTCCTTAAAATCAGCAGCTAATGTCACATGTCTTTTAAACTGATGTCATCTGGCACTGTTCTTGCTACATATTCTAGCTCAATGGCTAGATAGTCAGTGACCTAATTCTGTGGTGCGTTTGAACATTTCTAGTGGACCAAAGTTAGTGATGTATCTTGTGTTTTATCAATGTAACTTTGATTCTACCGAATCCTTCTGGTTTTCATCAGTAGTCAGTAATTTGATTTGGGCAAGGCCATTTTAAAACAGTGTCTCTCTAACTTATGTATTTTTAATTTAATTTTTAATATTATTTTCCAATAATTTTGAAATTGTGAGCATGAGAATCCTCCGATTTGTTTTCAGAACACCTTACTTTGTGCATATAAATGAGAAATTTCTGCTCTGGATGTAGCACATAGCAAATGAAATACCTAAAATTAGAATAAGTCTAGTTGCAATTGAGCTACATTAT